GCATCCTGTCCTTTTGCCTCTCGTGACATTTATGTCACCATTCTGTAAGCCAGGGTTGCCCAACTTTTGTGAGTTTTATGTGTCGCTCTATCCTTTGTGGATAATCAATGTCACAGTGCTTCTGAAACAGTAAGAAGGCCTGATCTTTTCCAGAGTTAATGTACAATGTTGATTTTAGGATTTTCCCTTTCCTTCCTACCAGATGTCTCTTCCATGCCTACTAAGTTAAATATGTAGGAGAAATTGCCACTCTATCCTCCAAAGGAAAATTAAAGTTTAAACATGAATTCTAGAGAGAGTTGGTGATATCTCTCAGAGGAAGATCTGTGTGAAGTGACCAGTCAAGGGTGATAAATGGAGTTAAATATGTAGGAGAAATTGCCACTCTATCCTCCAAAGGAAAATTAAAGTTTAAACATGAGTTCTAGAGAGAGTTGGTGATATCTCTCAGAGGAAGATCTGTGTGAAGTGACCAGTCAAGGGTGATAAATGGATAGTCAGCTGTGCACAGCCAGCCCTGTGGGCCACGAGTTGCCATGGAAGCACTAAGTGGCGTTCAGCAATCCTGCATGACTAACCTAGTTTAGCAGCAGGGCCCTTGGGCTCCAGCCTGGGAGAAGGTGCTCCCAGCTAGACAATCCAGAGCCAGCATGCTGCGCCATGTCTCAGGCCCTACTTGGGCCTTTCTATTGCCATCTTTTCCTCACCCCATGTGCTATTTCCTTTTTTTAGTTCAAGGGGAAGAGAAAAAGAAATCGTTCTCAGGAATCTTTACAGAGTTGTGGTTTCTTTCCTTTTATCACAGTGTTTTAACATCCACCCACACCCACAAGGAGAAACATTTGAAAAGTCAGAGTAAATGTGCCCTGACAGGCCTCAGCATGGGGTTGACTAGATGACTATTCAGGAGCTGAACAAGCAGCTCTGAATTCCTCCGGATTTTCACCACCTCTTGGAAAGTGAGAGCATCCTGGCATGCTTCAGATTTCCAAAGCCTCATTCAGGCTCCTGTGCTAAGTAGAGTGGGGAATTTCTGTTTTCACATCAGCACAAACGTCTGTGGCACAGCCCTCCTCCCTTGGCCTGCACGTTTATGTTCTGCATGTGCCTGCTTTCTTGCCAGGCGTCGGAACTGAAGCCTGTGGTCCCCCCTCCGTCTTTCTGTTCACTGAATTTAAAAAGAGTGGTGGAGGAGGTGGTTGGGTGCATTCTGTAGAGATCTTTTGGTGCATCATGTTGAACCTTGAAGATGGCAGATCTGAAAGCAGGAATGTGGCTACTGAAAGGAAGGCTACTCCCTGTCCGAAGATATTTTGCAGACTTCTGAGAGAACTCATGGATGTCTGCTGGGTGGTCAGACTTGGCACCACTCCTACCTCCCGGAGGGGCACTTCAGCATGTGGACTTGTTTTTGTGGGCAGTCAGCTGTTTCGACATGATGTTTTTTCCTCCCCAGGTGGGGACTCCTGGACTGACCAGAAAGCTGGCAGCTAGGCCCTAGGAACATGGCCTAGGTCAGCTGTCCAGAAGGTAATGGGAGCAGAGCCCGATGTGGGGCATATTGCAGCTACTTTGGTGCAAGTTTATTTACAGCCTGTCCTTAAAAGAAATTAACACAGAGAGTCCCCTAGCACATTAGAGATGACTTGTGAACCCAGAGGTTATTGTGGGGCCAGTGACCTCAATTCTGTAAATTTTAAAAAGGCTCTAAATAAGAATTGTAGCAGTTTTTGTAATGTGAAGAGCAAGTTCATGCTGTCAGCCATTCCTCTCTCAGAGGGCCCTTTGTTAGGTCCTTAGTTGAGGATAGACCTGTGTGGTTATGTTTAACCAAACATACATTTTGTGGCTCTGAGGTTGCTTTTTGAGACTAAGGTAGCACATTTTCATGCACCACTGTTGTTGCCTACCATGGCCCTGTTCAACACAACTTGAAAGATTTGCTAGCAGAACTGTGATTGAAAATGCAAACTTTGCTGCCAGGCATTGGAATTTCCAGGTCTGCTATTTATTAGCAAGTCCATCTCTGAGTCTCGATTTTTCGCTTGAAAAATGGGATTAGGGCCGGCCCGTGGCTCACTTGGGAGAGTGTGGTGTCGATAACACCAAGGCCAGGGGTTCCGATCCCTATATAGGGATGGCCAGTTAGCTCACTTGGGAGAGTGTGGTGCTGACAACACCAAGTCAAGGGTTAAGATCCCCTTACTGGTCACCTTTAAAAAAAAAAAAAAAAAGAAAGAAAATTGGAGTTGATAATCTCACTCTA